TGAAAACGGAATCAGGGACTTAAATTCGGGTTTTGTTTTCGTCTCCCAACAGTGGAACAACACATGGGGGGCGGAAAGCAGCACAGAGGGCCTTTCCAGGGGGTCCGCGTGAAGAACTCGGTGAAGGAGCTCCTGCTGCACTTCAGGAGCAGCAAACAGATGTCCTCGGGCTCTGCCGCGGAGGAAGGCAAGGTAACCAGCATTTTTCAGCACTGACATAATTGTTTTTAATGGTTACTGAAGCTCGCAAAAAAAAAAAAAGGCACGTGATAACGCTAGAAATGAGCTTGCTGCTTTATCTGATGTGGATGGAGTCAGTATTTTTCCTTTTCGGTATGTGATGGAAGAACACAGCTGGGAAGAAATTAGTGAGAAGGTTTACTGTGAGAGAAGGAGGCACTTAAAAATGTTCTTACTAAGCTTTATTTTCTAAAGGGAGCTTGGAACGTTTGTGTTATGAAACCGCAGAAACTCCCTGTTAGCTCGAATGAGGTCATTCATTGTGAGAGTTGGGGAATCTTCTCAGAAGAGAATTGTTTGTCGTGCTATTGCGCTCCTCCGTGCAGAGCACACAGTATAAAGGCCGACCCCTCTGGTCTGAAAAGATAAAGAAAAAAAAATATAAGAAATTTTAGGAGGATGAAAGGGGATTTTTTTAGAATAGTCTTTCTGAGTGTGTGGGAGCACGCAGTATAAAGGCCAACCCCTCCGGTCTGAAAAGATAAAGAAAAAAAAAATATAGGAAATTTTAGGAGGATGAAAGGGGGTTTTTTTAGAATAGTCTTTCTGAGTGTGTGTTTGCAAGCTTCCTAGGTAAGTGTTACCACAGCAAAATTTTTGCGTAGAAAAGTTCATGGCATTGAAGGACTATAAAATTGGCTGGCTCGCTTGTATTTAAAAAAAAAATTCTCAGACCTCAGTAAGGAACAGTGTCTTTCTGTAGATTTTCTTGAGTTTTGTGGTATTGTTAAAAATAACTTAAAAAGTCTTAAGAAGAATGGTGGCTTTCATTTCAGTTCCATAAAAGTCTTTCCATTTTCTAACCTTAATTAAAAGCAATTAAATTAGGGTTAGACAATCATGTCCTAGAATAATTCTAAGATATATTCTAAGTTTATAGAAGCAAGTCACTGCTGCTTTCTTCTTGGTTTGGTTTTGTGTGTTTTTTTTTTTTGTCTGAAATAACTTTATAATAATGGAATAATCTGGATTTTTCTCAAAAGGCACAAGGAGGATTGGTGAACTACGAGCAGTACACAGGTAAAAAACCCTTTTTTTTTTTAATACCCTGCAGTAAGACTTTAAAAGTTGATAGTAAGAGTAACCTCCAAATGGATTCTAAATTTATCTTCTTTTCAACAGAGCTGAAGAACATACTAGGTCACAGTGGCAAAAGAAAGGCTCCTGAGCTCCTTTCTGATGGACCTTCTTTCAAACGCCAAGCTAATGTTCACCCACACCTCCTGGTAAGCTTGTAGTAATTTTTTCCATGCCTTTAGTTTTCAGTTTGCTTTGTGTGATCAGAAGCTATCAGATATAGCTATGCTTCTAACTTTCTGGGGCTTGTTTTGATTTTTCCATTTTTTTTTTTCCTGGCAGACACCACCTCAAACACCAACTTCTATGGATAACATGGAGGAGACTCATAAAAACGACCCAAAGCACGACAGCAACTCTGATCTGCTTCAGAACATTATAAACATCAAGAACGAGTCGAGCCCCATTTCTCTGAACACAGTGCAGGTTAGCTGGTTGCACACTGTCTCCAGTCACAGCTCGCCTGGTGACCAGTACCAGGACAGCCCGGGAACACAGGGTTTCTCCCCATCCCAGAAGTACCAGGCATTCCAAGATCACACCTCCCAGCATATGCTTGATCCACCGCAGCATTACCAGTTCCCTCCGTCCCAGAACCCAGATTTGTCACAGAGCTATCCTTCAGATGCCTCCCTGGAGTACAGACCGTTTGCTGGCAATGACCAGTCTCCTGGCTACCAGCAGAATACCTTTGAGAGCCATGAACTGCAGTATTGCCCATCACAGAGCTTCTCCTCCCTATTGAACGACTCGGAAGGCTCAGAGGGCATCTCCGCTCCCCTTCAGCCACTGACTGGTGCCCACCCACCAGCTGATGTTGGACCCCAAGCTCCAAACTTCAGCTTGCTTTCCAGTAACGTCTGTGGTGGTCTGGAGCGCAGCGTCTCTTTGGCTGCTTTGAATGTCTCTCTACCTGACCAAAACATTGCCAGAAGCACGACGCAGCTGGGCAAGTCATTTTTTCAATGGCAAGTGGAACAGGAGGAAAACAAACTGGCTAACATCTCTCAAGACCAGTTCCTTGCAAAAGACTCGGATGGAGACACGTGAGTGCTGTTTATCTCAGTGTTTCTGATGGGGGAGGTCGGGGAGTGTTTCTGTTTGGATTTTGGTGGACCACGGGCTTGTAATGGAAGCAGTTCATTAGCAGTGGTTGTGTCACGAGCGCAGTAGTTTGGCTAACCAAGTGAAATGTGTGGTCTTGCTGATGGGCTGCAGCGCACATAGTTGCAGCACGCTGAGTAGATAAGGCGCTTGTATTCTCTAATTTCAGGTACTTATCGTTAGACTTTTACCTAGTAAATGGGGAGAAAAAGATTGTCACTTAAATGCTTTAAATTGCCCTGGGAAGAAGGTACCTGTGTTCCTGTCTTAGTCACGCCGAGGAGGTCTGAAGCTGGCAGCGTAACACCCCTGCCATGTGCTTGTATCTCTGTAATGACCTCAGCCCTACTTTGTATGATGCTATAACTCCGTTTCCCCTCTTCCCCGCAGCTTCCTTCACATTGCTGTTGCCCAGGGCCGACGGGCACTCTCCTATGTTCTTGCGAGGAAGATGGCTGCCCTGCACATGCTGGATATTAAAGAGCACAATGGCCAGGTGAGGGACTCAAAATCTTTGTGCCTGCTTTGTGCACCTGAGTGCTTTTGCATGTCTGGGCCTTGAGGAAGGTGTGGTGAAATGCTTATTTAACATTAACCCTGAGATTTAGCCTGCATACTGATATTAACCTTGAGCTATTAATACTTCTTGGGATCACCTTGAGCTGGTGAAACTATGCGCTCTGCTTCATTTGTCCTGGCTTCCTGGTATTTGTAATCGCTGCTTAAATAATAGCAGGTAGCTAGGCTTTTTATTTGTTTTAGTTATTCTTTCCTGTTAGAGATCAGGTGACTAATAGTTGAAATTTTCTTCTCGATGTTTGCAGAGTGCTTTCCAGGTTGCTGTGGCTGCCAATCAGCATCTCATTGTGCAGGATTTGGTTAGCTTGGGGGCTCAAGTCAACACCACGGACTGCTGGGGTAGAACGCCGTTGCATGTTTGTGCTGAGAAGGGGCATGCCCAGGTCCTTCAGGTAAGAACCGGGCAGGCGTAGCTCTGCCCTGACTGTTGGTGCTTATACTTGGTATCGGTTGTCTTGGGAAACTCTGAAAACATCACTCCTCCCTTTAGCGCTCTCTCCGTGTAGTCTGGTGAGCATGTCTCAGGGCTCTGCAGTAACAGCTTAAAGAGAGACTGAGTTTCACATTAAGGTTCTCGCCAATGTTTTAGAGTAATTTGGAATCCTCTAGTCTACGAAAACAATAAATAAATCTCTTAATGCCATTAGATATTGCAACTTTGTTGCAGTAAGACTCTATGCAAGCTTGAGGAAGCAATATGTGGCTTGGATAAGACCTCAGTGCATACCTGTTCCCGCTTTTGTAGGCAATTCAAAAGGGAGCCATGGGAAGCAGTCAGTATGTGGACCTCGAGGCAACAAACTATGATGGTGAGTAGTTAAGAGTTTATAATTTACAGAGTTACTGGATGTTGTTATGTTTTATAGCTGCTGATGTGAATGCTCTTCTGGGTTGAGAAGCAATGAAATGGAACATATCTTTGCCAGGTTGAAATTTACAATTACAATTTAAATTACATTACAATTGCCATATCTGTCAGATAAAACCATGGTTAGCCTGTGCCTGTCAGGACCTCTTTCCTCTTAGATGCGATTGCTGTGTTTGGCATGGAGAGTGTAGGTAGTAATTGGCTACTGTTGGAAACATTTGAGTGCCAGCGGATACAGAAGCCAGAATCTCTGTCATCAGAGAGCTTTTCCATGTAACAACTCTTTCTAATGTATATTCTGTCAAAAGAAAATCTTAGAAATGGGTTCTTTTATTATCTGCTGGCTGAGAGCTTACAGTAGGTTGCTACTTAACTCCTCCAGTGATGGACAACCCAAATCTCAAGCCCATGGGAGCAGTCACTGCCACTTAAAAATACAGAACCGTCCCTGGGCTTGATGGAGGTAGAAGCTCCTTTATCCATCCTTTGACACAAGCAGCCACTCAATATTTCTGTATTGCATTTGTTCATTAATGATGATTTTTTTTTTTAATGTTAAGGTTTGACAGCGTTGCACTGTGCTGTTCTGGCCCATAATGCTGTGCTGCACGAACTGCAAAACAGTCAGCCACCTCACTCCCCTGAGGTTCAGGAGCTGCTGCTGAGAAACAAGAGCCTGGTGGAAACCATCAAGACTCTGATACAAATGGGAGCCTCTGTTGAAGCGAAAGTGAGTAAAATGGCTTTGTCTGAAGTTGCCAGATCCAGAGAGAATGTGGAAGCAGAACGTGGCCCTTTCTCCCATGCCACGTTTCATCTTTATTACAAAGGAAGTAATTTGAAGGCTTCCCTTCAGCTTAATTTACCGAAGTGGAATACGAATGTTGCATTTATTCAGAGCAAGGTCTTATCAGTGCAAATGAACCCTGGGGAAAGAGGGAGGATTTCTGGATTAAGAATGATGCTACACTGGCTGCAGTCGGTTGTGTCTTAAAAGTATGTGTTTGGAGCACTCTGAGGTACCCGTAGTAATAGTGCTGATGATACCTTGTTCTTGAACTGCAAATTTTAATTAAAAACTGCTTACCTGTCCAGTTTAGGTCTGTGCTGGGCCAGACCATTATTAGTTACAACATTTGATATTTTGGTTATGTAAGCTTACTGCCAGATGAGATGTGATCCATTGTTCCTTAGATACTCATATTAAAATACCTACTTAGATTGACTTTCAGTGAATTGTAGTGCAAATATGTTTTTTCAACAGTCTGTGGTTACTCTGCTCTGTTTTATTTGTCTGCATGTTCACCCTGGTTAGGTGTAGCACCTGCAGGGAAGACTGACAGTTTCTTTTTTGACAGGATCGCAAAAGTGGTCGCTCAGCTTTGCATTTGGCAGCGGAAGAAGCAAACCTGGAGCTCATTCGTCTCTTTTTGGAGCTGCCCAACTGTCTCTCTTTTGTTAATGCAAAGGTACGGTGATTTTTCCAGAGTGCAGCTATAATCTGGGATGTGCACATGTGTGGCACCGCGAGTATCCCAAGACTGATGTCCCTGCCTTGCCTTCACGGAGTTATTTTGTCTTCTCCAGGCTTACAATGGCAACACGGCGCTGCACGTGGCTGCCAGCCTGCAGTATCGGGTGAGTCAGTTGGATGCTGTGCGCCTGCTGATGCGAAAGGGAGCCGATCCAAGTGCCAGAAACTTGGAGAATGAGCAGCCAGTTCATCTGGTTCCTGATGGCCTTGTAGGAGAACAGGTAATAAAAAAACCCCGAAACAATCAAACAACTCTCCTCTGCTCTCATCTGTCCCCATCTGCGCGAAAGCCATATTCATCTATAAAAGTTTCTTTGGGGTTTTGAGTTGCAGGTTTTAAGGAAAAGATTTAGCAAATGCCATTTTATTCATGGATCTTTTGGTTTTAATGTCAGGATCAGGCAGAGTATACAAAGACCTGAAATTGTAGGTTTCACTTGTAGCTGTTTTTTTTCTCAAAAGCTTTTTCCTGACAAGATAGCTTTTTTCTTTGTAACCTTGCAACATGCTGGAGGTAATATGTCTTCTCTTGTTCATCTCAGTATGGTCTGAGATCATGCTTTTGTTGTTCTTGTCATAATTAGTAATGGCAGTTCTTCGGCCTGAATAACAGATTAAGAAAATCCCTTTTTCCTAGGTGCTATACAAATACATGATGAAAAAGGTGACTTTTGACCTAATATGCTAACAGCTTAAGCAACTGAGTAATTCTGTTGCCATTTACTGGTTGAAATGCTGTAGAATTGGATCAATTCTGGTGTAACTGAACTCAGAACCTAGGCTCAGATAAATGAGGAATGCAGAACTGGGTCTAGTTTGTTTTTTTAGATTGACTCACTTTAGGATGATGAACACTAATATTTTTGTCTTTTTCTCTTCTCCAGATAAGACGTATCCTAAAAGGGAAGGCGATTCAGCAGAGAGTGTCGCCGTTTTAAAGCTCCATGTTTCTTGGAGTCAACTCACACTCACTGTCAGTCAGGCAGTCCTAATGTATCTGTAAATAGACCATTTGCCTGGTGTGGGCAAATGTTAGTTGTTTCTATGAAACAAAAGTATTTTGTTCACTATCATATAGTGGGTTATATAAGAGTAAAAAAAATAAAACCAAAACCCAACAATCAAATTCCTCTGAGCAAATGGGAATGTTTCATTCCCAAATATGTGGAACATTTTCCTGGATCCCTGGATTTCATAGCTACAGCAAGACTGATTTTATTTAAATAGCCATACAGATTACTTCTGGACAAGGGCAATTCTACAGGAAATCTTTTTCTTTAGAGAGGGCTGATACATGTCAGCTTTGCAGAGTTTGCTTTTGTTGTGTTTTGAATAACACTTAAATATTAAGTGCAAGAGAAATCAAATATTTTTGAATTTGAACATTTATTTATATAACTTGGTAGCTTTCTTCCAGTATCTCACGTAGGATTGTATATAGACACTGGCATTACTGTACAGCTGTATAGTTCTGAGAATCTATTGATCGCTTGGGGAATGAACTGAAGAAACAAGTTCCTTGATCTCGAACTTGCAAATTGCATGTAGAATTTTAATACTCTACTGGTGCAAATCAGGTAAATTCTGTTTTGAAAGACCGAAGACTGAAAGTACAGTTAAGATAGATTGTCCCTGGCACTGATTTGTGCATGCTTTTGGAGTTGTTAATAAAACATGAAAAGCTGTGCTGCTTTAGGGGACTGTGTCAGTTTTTCTTGTACCCAGTAGAGGTTTTTCTTTTGGGACAATAGATTGAGGGAGAAAGATCATTACTGTTATAGTGTGTATATAACTTTGTTGTACTTAAAGGAATATGATCCTGATTCAGTGAAAGTATTTAGCATGTACTTAACTTGATGCATGCTGAAATCTCTCTGTGTTAATTATAATACTTCAACATGTGTAAGCCCCATGAGTGTCAGTAGGACTTAAGCACATGTGTTAGTAGTTTGCTGAATTGGGCTCTAGTTAATTCTAGAGACTTAGTGTTTTTCACCTCCTAAGCAGAGTTAGTCCATTTATGGTTTTACCTTATAGGTATAGTGGCTAGCCAAGTAATATTTGAAGTTAATGTTTTTCTATTTTTAATAATTATGGATATTAATGCAAAATGTATACTATGATGCTGTATTCTTGTGTTCTGTTGGAGATAACTTCCTCCTCCTATCACTTTCTGAATGATCCGTGCTGGGCCGTAATCCAGTAAGATGTTCTCTGTATGATCTTTGCTCTTAAACTGTTGTTGCATCACACGCAATTCTCTGCCATAACTGTTTAATTAGCCTGTGCTGTTTCAACAAAGTACGTCTCGTAGACAAACTGGGTGGAAAAAATCTGACATGGAAGCCTAGTTGCGATGTATTTCTCGAAGGGTCTCATGTAACTTGTGTTTGAATAAACATGCTAATTAAATTTTGGTGGTTACTGTCTGTGGTACAAATGATGATGATGAAATCAAACTTGAGATAAAACTGATTTAGCATGGTAATGCTGTAGGACTGGTGAAGGTCCATTTGTTTTGTTAAGGATGAAATGAAGTCTTTCCATCCTGCTGTTTCTGCTTTCTCTTGTTTGATGCTGGTTTTTGAAGCTGGTGCTTGGGTGTTTTGGGTCTGCACCATGCAGTTGTGTATTGCCTGTGTATTTGGTAGATGTACCCCAAATAAGAGTTAATGGTCACCAGGTTGTGCACGTTGCAGGCTGTTACCTGAACGCTTGTCCCCGTATAATTGAAAGAATGACAGCAATTCTGACAATGCCACGTTTTCCCCATGACTCCCTTGCCGTGGTCCTCGGTTCGTACAGCTCAGGTACAAGCAGTCACCTTAGCGCAGGTGGAACTCTGCGTGAGGACATGAGGCTGTACGTGTGGGGAAAGATTATCCGTGCTTCACAAACAAAAAGAGGGGCTCTGAGCTGGCCATGACCTTTCAGGAGGAGGAACTGTCATCATAGGCTGTCCCTGCTGAGCACCGAGCTGGTGAGATGGCAGCAGTCAAGAAAAGCAGATGAAGCATTAGGAGCTGTAGGAAAGGAACTGAAGAAAAACAAGAGCACTTCTATGCTACTGTATCGACCTGTTGTCCATCCCTGCCTTACTGCTGTGGGTGGTCAGGGTGTCCCACCAGATGAAAGCGTTTAGGATTGGAAGAGGCCCAGAGGTGCGGAGGAGCTTCCTTGCAAGAAGCAAGAGAGCAAACTAGGGCTCTTCAGGTGGAAGAGCGATGGCTGACAGCAGGTATGACAGGCCTGCAGAGTCATGTCGGGCCAGAGAAACTGGATCGGGATGAACTGCCCGCTGTCCCTTCCCGTGTGAGAGCTGGAGGCTATTAATGAAGGTACCGAGTACCCAACAGACAAAGGATGTGATTCCTTGAGATAGTGGAAGAATGTGGTAGAAACAAGATGTTTGTTGATGCAGGGGGGGCCTGGGTGCATACTTAGAAGGAGGACCTTTTTGTGGAGAGTTACTAAAGAGCTGAACCATGTGAAGCAGTCCTGTCTGAGTTGAAGGGTGAAGTATTGTACTGCAGGCTTGCCCTGCTCTCAGCTCTTCCCTGGGGACTTTCTAATGGTCACTCTTGCAGACCTGATACCAGACTAGATTATGCCCTTTACTCAAGTCATTGCAGTTATGCTTTTAGTGGTTCATGGGTTCAGTCTGGCTCCACTGGTGTTCGTTGCACCTTTCACGAGAAGAAAATGTAGGACAATCATCTTGCAGCCAGTCGAGTGCTTCAGGGGATTAATTGCAGATCCTTTGCTCTGCTCCCGCTCTGCGCAAAAACTCATCCCTGGAAGTCTCAAAACCAGTTTTTGGTGCTGAGGTAAGGTGGTGGAGAGAGGAGGCTGTACGTTGTTTAGCAGGTAAGAGTGGGAAATGATGATGGAGACTGGAAATAGAATTGAATTTCTAGTTAGGGTATGCGAAAATGAAATGGCACCTGTTTAAGTGAACAGCTAATTGGGCCTAGATTGTATTGAAGATGCTGTCATCTGCACCTCTCACTGCAAGTGACCCTGCCTTAGGTCCTTTTTTTGTATGAGGAGCCTGATAGCACTGTTTCTACTTCATTTCCATTTTCTTTATAAGAGGTGATTACACAGGAAAAAGATTTGCTGATGAGATATTCTGGCCCTCCAGACCGGTCCAATCTGACTGCCTGGCACTCCTTTCTGGGTGGTGGTAACTGGGTCATCTCACAAAGGGATGAAGTACCCTGGGCTTGTCAGGGTAGCAGAGCATAAGCATGCGTCCAGTCAGTGCTTGAGCACGGAGTAGGTGCTGCTGGCGAGAGGCGTTTAGCAAGCGGCGTGGTGCTTCCAGCAGCCCTTGTGCCCTTCTGGAAGGGGCATTCCATGTTAGAAAATCCCTAAGGGGAGATCGAGGTGTTTGAAGCTAATTTAATCTGTGTAAAGCCTAATTTCATCTTCTCGAGAGCTTAGTAGGCACTTCAGGAAAGCATCCCTACTCTGACTCATTTTTCTCTCCTATGATATTGGGAAGTTCTGGCATATCTGACATGATATAACTAATTAGAAACAATCCCCTTTTCCTGATGGGCATGTGACACTAAATATTTAGCAGGCTAATAGTGTTTACCTGAAAACTTAGTGATGGGAAAATGCTGAATAGCTTTTATTGACGTGGATGCAGGCACATCATTTATTTCTCTGGTTGGAGTAGAGGCAGAAGAGACTCTGGCTTGGGTCCAAGTAGGGATATTAAGGCACATGGAGCTTTGTTCCCAGGATGTTTCTGATTTGTTTGTCTAAGTAAGCCAAACCTCAGGAAAGGGTTGCTCTTTGATTTTTGTGGGCTACTCATCTGGCTGGAGTTGTGGAAGGTGGCAATACACGATTTACAAGAAATGCGTTCTGCTTCTGGGGATGGAAAAAGTACATTTCCCACATTTATTGCTCATTTTAAATTTTGATCAGAAAATGAAAACATAGCCAGGAAGTGCATTCTTAGAGAGACTGGGTGTGGTAGAAGCGACTGCAAAGATATGACATGAACTGCTCGTTCTTCTTGCCTGACAGTTGGCTTATCTGGTTGCCTTTCTTTTAAAAATATATATGCTTTCCTGTGTAAGGGAAGAGACGAGGATGATTAAAGTGCAGTGAACATGGGAGGATAACAAACAGGTTCCTGCAATTATCTGCAAAAAATTGACCTGGTCTTTCAAAACAACTTGTTCTTTGAGTGCATTCAAAACAAATTGTTCTATTGTTATCTATTACCTTTCTTGAGTGTTTCGTGGTGGTCTTGGCCTGAGATACTGATGGCTTGGGAAAGTCATACAACTGACTCCTCATCGAGTTGGTTGAGTGTCATCCAACCTCCAATAGTGCTACTTTTCACTTTTCATGATTAGGTCAAGGACCAGCATTGCTGGTGCAGACGCTGGCCTGTGCTGGGGTTTAAAAAGGCAAGCGGCACCCCCAGTCGTCAGGGCACTTTCCAAGGAGGACCCCACCTCCCTTCCCCACTGCCCCGGGCCTGCAGCAAGGGCTCGCCTGGCAGCATTTTGCTATTTTGAGAGGAAGCCTCTCTTAGCATCTTTGAATTTCTTCTAAAAGATGAAATACTAATTTGAGAGGAGAAAGGTTTAGTTTGCTCAAGGGATGGTCTGTTGATATGTCTGCCTCCAAATGAGGCAAACTGCCTCCAAACTGGCCCATAAAAGAAGTTGTTCCTGACAGCTGGCTTTGCTATCTGGGAATGCTCATCCATATACAAAGCCCACATGGGCAGCTCTTGTTTCCTGGCAAAATTTCCCAAGTGTTGCTGGCTAATGGAGCAGTGTCTATTCTTACAGTGTATCTTTAGGTCTGACCACTGTTAGCAAAAAACTCAAGGCAGCACTGATGAAATTGGGAACCACACTGGTGTGGGGATGCTGTGCCAGAGGTTGTCTCTTTTCAAATAGTGGGATTTGGGGGTTGGTTTCTCCTTCAGGTTGTCTCTTTTCAAATAGTTGGGTTTGGGGGTTGGTTTGTCCTTCAGGTGCCTATCTTGGTCTTGCTGGAGAAAGGTAATATATCTTGGGCTGCGTTTGTTTAGTGTGTATCTGTTTTCAGCTCTTGTCATTAACAGGCTGACTCAGTAAGTCTTTGTTTTACCTGGTAAACCTTAT